AAATTCAATGCATTCACAGACATTGAATTCAAACAGGCAAGGGATGCAAAAAAATGCAAAACGAAAGCAGCTTCAGTCTATTCCCGATAAGAGGAAGCAAACTTCAACTGCTCTGAGTAAGGAAGAAATGTATGAAATGCTGAATTTGTGGAAAAGAAATCGGATGGCAACATAACCGGAAGAATTGAACAACCCGATTTTTTCTAAAACATGCCAGGGAGGCGCTCAAAAATGATCGGACAGTAAGTGGTTAGTGCCTAATCACAACAATCTGCGTGTGTGCCCGGTGAGGTTATTTTTAAGCGCACTACAAAAATTACTTCAGACCGTCTATATCTGACTCTAAATGTGGATGGTACAAAAATATGCCAAATATCTGACTGTAAATGTGGATGGTACAAAAATATGCCAATTGGGGTAGATGAGATTGGAAAATGGACCAAACAATCTGTGGAAAGAATAGGGCTTGATACTGTTAACAAACAAGATCACGAATCATTCAAATCGATCAAGTGCTGTATCAAATCTTGCCAAGTCAGGTGTCCCGGAAGAACAGCTTATCAAAATGTCTGGACATGCTAATTTGATCATCAACCTGAGACCTGAACCTTCTGAGATCCAAACTACACGAGGTATAAACATAAGCCAAAAAAATACTACTACTGAACATATTGATAATGTCCAAAAAAAATCTAGTAATAATATATCATACAATTATTGCACATTCAATGTTCGAAATATGTATATTACTGAAAATAAGTGATAATTTGTGAATATAGTGATATGTTATTGATAATTTCAAATGTTTATTGTTTACATGAAATTCTAACTTATGAATTATTTTTTTATTTCAAACTTTCAAACAATTTAAGTGTTTTCACAATGTAGTTGTGTACTCATCTCCCTAAAATACATTCGATACTTTTTTTACCAGATAAATAGGTACATTACAAATTGCATTAAAATTTTATTGTCATCTGGCAAAAAAATCACGAATCAAGGGAAGTTTGATTCTCGATTGTTTGTCATGTCAATAAAACTTTCATACAATTGAACATGTATAAATATCATCTCTTATGTATTTATCCCCGAAAAACGCATAGTTCATAAGTTATAACGCAACATCTGAAAAAAGTCCAAATATTTGCCGTTTGCCATAGCCTATTACCATACGAGCACAGGCCCTATTAAAAAAAATCAGAACTAGCCCCAGTTCGGATAATTAATATGCATGCATGGATTGACCGCTTCTCCTTCTTCTGTTAATGTTTCATCAATCCCTCATTATACATATAACACATTGGCTTCATTTACTTCTAATGGATCACAGTAAGGTGCCTGGCGTATTTAATAAGTTACTATATTTTGAACCATTTAAACTCCAATATTTATACTGCTTGTAGAGAGATACCATTTCTTTCACTCTCTCTGCAGTTAATCCGTATTCAGGCAGGCTGAAAAATAGTCAATCTACTGACGGAGAAAGTATACAGGGTGACCAAGATGAGGTTGCTCAGCATGTGGATCTCGGGAACGGGAGGAGATAGGAATTCGATTCAATGTGGAAATAGTTTTGCGCATTAGGAATTCGATTCAATGTGGTTTTGCGCATTCAGTCAGTCATTCCAACGGATACGAGCACAGGCCCTATTAAAAAAATCAGAACTAGCCCCAGTTCGAATAATTAATATGCATGCATGAATTGACCGCTTCTCCTTCTTCTGTTAATGTTTCATCAATCCCTCATTATACATATAACACATTGGCTTCATTTACTTCTAATGGATCACAGTAAGATGCCTGGCGTATTAAATTAGTTACCATATTTTGAACCATTTAAACTCCCATATTTATACTGCTTGTAGAGAGATACCATTTCTTTCACTCTCTCTGCAGTTAATCCGTATTCAGGCAGGCTGAAAAATAGTCAATCTGCTGACGGAGAAAGTATACAGGGTGACCAAGATGAGGTTGCTCAGCATGTGGATCTCGGGAACGGGAGGAGATAGGAATTCGATTCAATGTGGAAATAGTTTTGCGCATCCAGTCAGTCATTCCAACGGCCGAAAATTTACAAAATTGTTTTCAGTTTTTCAGTTATATCGACTAAAGTGAATTTTTATAAATTCTATTTTTTTCTCCGGTATTATTAGAGATACAGAATTACAGTAAATACTTTTCCATTGCAACTTTTGATGAGATATAACGTGGTGATATTTATTTCTCAACCATTTTTTTTTCTTCAAATATGGTCCCGATTATGTGTCCATTGATTCTGAGAGCATTTTTCATTCTGAATTCAACCACGGTGGTTTGAATGTGTTTCGACCTAGTTTTAGCCATCATCAATGTTGTTTCTAAATTCCAAAGAGGAAATACCATCAGTTTCCACTCTATTCTGATCATTCGGTATTATTGTGATTGTTCTTCGTTTTTTGGTTTTGTTTGTGTTAGAATGGATCTCATTGTATTTTCAGTTTTCAACAGTTTTCACTTTCACCTACAAGTTTCATTTTTTTCAGATATGCTGGGAATGTATGGTATTATATTTGTCTTTATTGATGGTTGTTTTTGTTGCGGTGTATTTCTTTTGTCTTCAATTAGAAAGAAACATTTTTTAAACGCAGTGACATTATGGGGCAAATAATCTGGTTTGTCATACTACACGTATATAGAAATAAGCAAAATATTCATAACAAATGTTCAAAATTGTAACAATAATTATTTTCTAAACAAAGATATCCTCTTCTTACAGTTGATTCTAAGACATTCATAAGCATATATGGGGTAATACTATTAAATGCTTGGATAACCCCAGATATCCCTGTCCATTAGTTCTTTATCGTTATCAAGTTTTCTAGCATATCCCCAATGAAAAAAATCCAGCGGTGTCCAATCAGGTGATCGAGCCGGCCAAGGGACTGTAAAATAAGATTAGTTTTCAAGGTAATTCGTGTAAGAATCCATTAACATGAAACAATTTGAGCGCTGCATTGAATAATTTATGAAATATTTCATTTCAGTATTTTATAAGTACTCGCATCAATGTTTGACACTGAATGACTAGAAATAAGTGGAAATTATGATATTTCCTCTTTGAAATTTCGAACTAACATTGAAGATGATTATAACTAGGTCGAAACACATTAAAACCACTTCGAGTAATACATGGTTGAATTCAGAATAAACAAGCCATCATAATCTGTGAACACATAATCAGGACCGTATTTGAAAAGAAAGTTGATGACGGTTCTACGAATACGAAACGTCTCTTAGACTCTTTGAGAAATCAATATCACCACGTTAAATCTCATCAAAATTAGCTTTGAAAAAGTCTTTCTAGTTTTTTGAGTCTAATAATAACGTAGAAAAAGAAATAGATTTTCCGAAAAATCACTCTTTTCGATATACCTAACTGAAAAACTATGAACAATTTTGAAAATTCTCGTAGACTGTTGGTATGACCTCAAGAATGGGCAACTTCTTTCCCATAGTGATTTAAAGAAAAATACGAATTATGTGATTTCCATGAAATTCTCAAAATCTCATTTTTTGATAACACAGTATCTTCATCTAAACTGATGAACAATTGAAACGTAACGATGCATAATTGTAATCTTATTCAGATATGTATAACGTTCGAAGGACAACCCATTTCAATTCCGTTTTCAGTTCCTGGAAGATTATTTGATTGGGTATAAAGGTATATTTGATTTCCAGAAATCATTGTAACTGAGTTATCACATCACAGGGTGATCAATGGAAGTGTGCCAAATTGCCTCAAGTTGGGAAGTCTCCTGTTTGAAGAAAGAAATGTTCTCAACAATAATAATACCAATTTTTCGAAATGTACTTCTTGGTATCGAAATAGGATTCATTTTTCCAAAACCATGCGGATGTAGGTGTACTCATCTGTATTACGTAAATCTGAAGAGATCTCCCTTTTCATTGACTTTCCTTAGAGTTCAGGAGGTCAGAGAGAGGAGGAATAGCATTCCAAATTTGGAGTTGCATAACTATGTCATTATTGGAAATTCACTTTCAACTAGAATGATATGAGTCTAAATCATTTCCAAATTGTGTAACAGTTGACTGCAGGTTGGCACGTATTAATTCATATGAATTAAGTCAGTGATTCAGTTCGTGAATTAATTCAAATTACCTTCTTTGAAAAGTCATGAATTAATTCGAACTTTTGCCAATGGGAACAAATCGCATTTTCACTTTCAATTTGAACTAGTTTGAACTTGAAAATCCAGTGGCATTAGGCAACCTGACCATCATAGACATCTGAGCGTCCACAGGCGGAAAACTCACTTTTCTAAGAGCTGCTCAACAGTTTTTAATTTCATTGCATGCAAATTGATTGCTGCAGATCATATTTCCGGCAATAAAAATAATCGGAATGACCGGCTTGCAATGTTTTTTTGTCAAAAACATCTGCGTTTTACTTCTTATTGTGTTAAAAGGAACCATGAGATCAGCAACATTCAACATGCATCTAATGATACAAATAATGTATAAAATATCGACTACTTGTATAGTCCCAGGAATTCCGGGAATTCTTTCGACGAAGGAAGTCTAGTGTACCCGAAATTGGCCCGTGATTCACCCCTCGAAAATACCAAATTACAAAATCCTGACTACGGATCTCGATTTTGAAATCAACCAAATTTTTTGATTACCTATTCGGTATAGGTAAGTGTACCTGAACATCTTTGAAAAAACTTTAGGAAATTTGATGATCATGGTCGGCCGCGAAAATATGAAAAAAGTATTCCACATTAGACATATACACATTAGATCGTAGAAAAATACTTAGTTAATACAAATCTCAGATTATGACGTGCACTTTCAATATTTAACCATGAATAAATATCAATGTTTACAACATGAGCTAGGGGGCCCCCCTTGCCCAGCATTGGCGACGCCCATGTCTGTACTCTATGATGTTTCTGTCTCTTCTTCGATTGTAGATTCATTGTAGATTCCATTTGCAGGAGGAATGGAAACAGATAATGTGAATGAAACATCTCAAGATAATACTCAAGGAGAATCTGTTTCCCAGGTTTCCAAAACAATCATTCGAAAACAATCCCTACAGAGGAAAACAGTTGTCGCAGGTATTTCTTCATTTTTTCCAGAGACAAAATGATTATGAGATGGATGGAGATGGTCAAATCTAGAAATCTCATTCAACTTTGAACAGTTATAGCTCCCCTTTACGATTCACGAAGTGGGCGACATCTTCAAACTGGGGGAAAACAAACTGTTGTCTATGGATAAAGTACATAGACTACATTGCATACAGCTTGCTGTAGCTGTAGTTGTCAAACTTGTCAATGACATAAAGTGTTGGCACTGTTGGTAGTGATGATGGTTGAGTTGGTTAATTTTTTCACATTATTACATTTTTATTAGTTTAGTGAACAGTGAACAGGTGAAGAATTGGAGATAGTTCAAACAATTCAAACTAATTATGACAAGCAAATCAATTGACATATAAAAGAACAGCTACAACATGTTTACAATACCCAGATTGTCCTGCTTTGCATGAACAAATATAAATCCATTGTTCTACAGGAGTTCCTCTGGACCCCAACTTCAATTTTGTAGACAAAGTGCAAAAATGTGCCTTTTGTTGAAGTCTTCTGCCTCACACAAAATCACATGATTAGCACGGAGAACTGCTTCTCCTTCCACTACTGGTCGGCTTTTTCCATCTAAATAGAGCAAAATATCTGCCAAAAGAACATCTACAACAGGCATTATTAGCGTTTTCGATCGAATATTGACAATTAATGTCAAGAATTTTAAAAACTTATCACTTATCAGTACACAGTACACAAGCTAATGGCACCAATGGGATTGAGTGAGGATTGAGTTTGTTTTCCCTCAGTTTTGACGTGGCTTTGACCTTTGACATGGAACGATGAACACCGAGCGCCACCTGGTAACATTGATTCCCGCGAATAAAGGTTAATAATTCCTGTCTACCATGTGAAAAAGATATTTTATTACGAGCGTTCGCAAAGTAGTACTTTTCCGCACTCATTTGCGTGCGCAAAGTAATACTTTTCCGCACTCAGTGCGGATATGGGTGTTATCCGCACGGCGTGCGGATAAGTAAAACTACCCAAAAATCTCACTGGTATGGAACATTTATATTCATTTTAGTTGCTGTAGACTATTGTATGCATTATAAGAAGCCGTTATCCCTTTTACTTTTCAACCGTTCTTCCCGATATTTGTACTTCACCTCAATATAAATATTAGGAACAAACGATTTAATTTTCTATCATTATTTTTTATTGATATGTAATTGTTTGTTGTTTAGCTATTTCTATCAAGTTTAACTCAAAATTATTCAAAAAATTGTAATTTAAGTTGAGATTTTTTTATTTTCGTTATCTGATATGGAGCTCGTGGGAAAATGTGATTTTCTATTATTATATTTTATTTTTTTTATTTTCGTTTTTATGTGATATAAAGCGCGTAGGAAAAACGTTGTTCCTAACACGTGCGCAAAATGTCTTTTCCGCACGAAAAAACGTATTTGTGTGCGGAAAAGTAACACTTTGCGCACTTGTTAGGAAAATAACTATAAATAGATGCCCATGAACTCGTAATATCAACTTTTCATCTTTTTCAGTTTTCATTGAAATAAGCTAGGTATTAGTTATTTATACACCAAGGCGGTGAAGAATATAATTATTGCCCAGGGACCAAGATTATATGCCGAGGGGCATAAGGTCGTTACCACCGATAAAACAAGGCCTGCATGCTCCGTGGGTGACGTCACTTAGTCAGGCCTAACCAGCGACTCGAAACGACAAGCGCTTACAGCGCTATAAGGCGACCGCGTATTTCGATTTTAGTTTTAGATCATTATTGAGCCGATTTTGCTTTTTTTTTGAAGGGCTTCCGGTTGAAAGAGGATGCCAGCCGTCAACTGAGCCCTTCTTCGCATCCCATTCGATTTTATTATGGAAAAACGAAGTTTCAAAGCAAAAACCAGAATAAAACACAAATACCCACCTACAGCAACCCATTCGAATTAAATATATTGGCAAAAATTGTAGTGATTCAAATCTCATTAGAGGTAAACTTCACACCTACTTATACAGGGCCCGCAGAACATAAACTTATCATGAGATTGATCGAAAGAAAATTGGGGAAAATGTATTTTAGTTTGATAGACATGCCGTTTGTTATACCTAATTACCTATATTTAACTTGGAGAATTCCTATTACCTAAAAAATTAGCCAGTGAGTGTTTTCAATTTCCTGTTGTTGGATTTTTTACCCAATTGGTCGTTAGACTTGAAACACTAATTTTTAAGTAGTACAATTTTTTTTAGAAACCAAAGAGTCCAATGCATTCGAAATATGTTTCAAAACCCTCTTTTTCTGATTATCAAGACATTTTCCCGAATTATGTATGTCGTTTTTATCTATTTCAATTAGTAATTCCTTGATTTGATTGATATTATTAGAGATAAAAGGTGTTTTCAGATTGGCTTATAGAGATGTTTGTATCGCTAGGTCATACAAAAATGATTCCACATTCAAAACAAAATCAATCACAACCGAATATGTAATTACGGGCCCTGGAGAATAAGACAATTTGAATAATGTGACTTTTTGCAAATTGATAATTTTGAACCACTTTTCGGGCAACTGAAAAGACTCTAATACAACTAGAAATTCTTGAAATTCTGTGTAGCAAAATGATTTTTGGTAATTTTCGAATTCAGTTTTACTTTTGGTAAGTGCTTGTGCCAAATTTTTAGTCTCTAGTATCTCAAGTTTTTCATCACGACTTGTGCGTAATTTTACATCTTTCGATAAATAAGATGGACAGTTGGGAAATTGAGTGGGAATAACATCTCGTTTGAGCCTAGGAATTTTCAAATCTATTGTTACAGTTTTGCCAGTTTTTGAATCGGTTGCAGTAGATGAAGTAATAATATCATCTTTAGTAAAATGTAATTCACATACTTTACTGTATTTTGATGGAGTCGTAAAATCCTTGCGGTGAATTGCATGTACCCACTTTTTCGATAGTTCCTTGTCCAACGGGAAACTAAAAGCATGAACTTTTGGACCACCCACATAATTCCCCCGACAAAAGGGAACACAACACTTGTAAGGCATTGTTATTTCGCCTATCACAACACGAAATATTTCACAAAACAGTAATTTCTCCGCCAATTATTTTGATGAATAAACAACAAGAGAATTCGAGCACACGCGATTTACCTACGCCACCGTTCTTGAACAAAAACAAACTGACGATCGATCGACGCGAATGCCTTGGAAGATGGCCTGAGTATGCTACGTCACGAGCTGTTTACGTCAGAGTCTGCTGGCCTTGTTTTATCGGTGGTAACGATAAGGTCCCGTGGTAATAATATTCTTTACTACCAAGGTGTATATTAATTTTTTTTCACCACTAGCAATGTATTTCAATCATTATAGTTCGGTGCAACTGAAATATGGACCTATGCCACTATGAAAGCACTTCTTTTCAATCCTAATTAAAATCTAGTCATCATGACAGCTTATGACAGTCTTTATTGATAAATACCTACTAGATTCGAGTGCCATCCCTGTGAATATCGCATCAGAACAGTGAATTCGTGTTGATTATAACAGAGGTGGCTATCTCTCTATTGACTAGTGGTTCATAAAATGACGAAAACTACCTTGGTAGTAAAACACACTTTACGCCTTCAAAAGGAGTGAATATTGGTAGGCTCTATAGCTAGTGGTGGAAACATTTTTTCATAACATACTTCACGAATTGAGGAAGCTGTAGTTCTTAGTGGAAGCGGGTATCTTCCATAATTATTGAGGTGAAATTCTGAAACATGCAAGTTCAAGAGAGATACCTTCAATAATTTCATAACCAACTGCTCGCCAGTAGCCACGGTAACAGACATTCTCGCAAAATAATTTTAGGAAGCAAGATAGCCACAGGTTAAAAACATCTTCAAATCCATTACCGATAATAAATTAAAATTTACCACACTTCTCATGAATTGATCATGCATAAAAAATACTGAGGATATAGGGTAATACCATCTTGTTCCTGCCAGTTTCAGAAGGATAGATAAAAAATTCATGGATTGGAAGTATCAGAACTTGAGCAAAAGAAAATTGTCGTTAACGGGGGTCGTTTGAGTTTTGGTCAATTTTGCGCTGAACGATTCATCACCCTGTGACATTTTAGTTCTAACATTCCCCAAACCCCGAATTATAAATTTTTGAACGAAATGAAGGATATTTCGTTTTTGCCTGTTATTGCAACTGTTCAAAATTGAACTGAATTTTCAGGTGTCCTGTTTCTGGTTCTGACCACTTCGACCATTTCGTTCAATTTCACATCAACATTTGTTTGCAGATAACATGGAAACACCAGATGGACACACTCAAAATAATCCCCAAGGAGTACCTAATTTGAAAGTTCCCAAAACGAATAATCGAAAACAACAAGAGAGACTCACACTTATGGGAGGTATGTTTTATTTTCGATATGTAGGGAATATAGAGAAATATACAGGGTGTGTCACATTTTGATGGAAAAATTTAGGAACTGCATCTTCCAGAGACACAACTATCTTATCCTCCTCTCCCACCGAACTTTTTTTATCTGGGGTGTGGATATATACAGAGTATTGAAATAAGTGAAAATATTTCAAACCTTGATAAAACATACTATCGAATGGCACCAATAAAGAAAAACAGGGGTCCAAATAAAAACAATCACGCGAAGTTCAATCATTTAAATTGCCTCAAAGTGGCGTAAGTACTTGATTTTTATCTTGTTTTTTGTAGAATTTTTGGGATGAAATTTCTCTTAAATTAGAAGAATTAGAAAAAATCTGATATTATGGAAATATTCGTTAGACTGTATCATATCAATGTGCTGAATATATGTGCTCATTTCAAAAACACCTTGAATATACAGTGAGGACGTAGAAACTCCTCACCTCCAAGCTAGCGAGGTCGGGTGAAATTCAGGTAATGAGGTACCTCTTTTAGTACTCTTTGGCATGAAAATAGTTGTGGCCACGTGGCTTATTGTCGAGAGGGAACCATCAACCTTTTCTTTATGTAAAGGGGTTAACGTGGTACCTAGTTTTGGCAGGTTTCTCATCATTCAGGTAATGTTTGGAAATTTGCAGTCAAGATCACAAACTGAATATGTAACGTTTTTGCTTTGACTGTGACATTAGGTTCGTCGCTTTTCTTAAAGAACTCTAAAAAAAATCTAGGGAATTATAAAATATTTTTTTCAAAATCACAAGAGTTATGAAAAGATTGTAAACAAAATAAAGAACTAATTTTTTATTTCAAAATCTACCGGTGGCGCACCACAACAATTTCATAGAGCGAAAAAGGGCTCGATCCCCCGAAAACTATCTCCCTGTAGGTTCCTACAATCATTCGACACACTGTATGATGCGAACTCTAAATCGTATCCTATGTTAGTTAATTTGGCCAGTCTTGGACTGTTTCATTTTCTGATTTTTGTCTTTTAATTTTGAATATATGTTATTCAGAGTAATTTGAATTTGAGGGTTAGGAATATTCAATGATATATTTTTGAACTTGTTACTAAAAGAATTGATGTATGTAAGTGAGACATAAAACATTAATAATAATTTTAAATTTATGTTTCACTTCCATACATCAATTCTCTTAGTAACAAGTTCAAAAATATATAATCGAAAATTCCTGAAACACTTTGCATAATCTTATCATACTTGCTATAAATATTCCACTTATATTACCCAACAAAACTAAATGAAGATCTAGATCAGAATCCAGGTCCGTCTTAATGAAAAACAGAAAACTTCTTTCATTTCAAAAACAACACTGTATGGCAAAATCTTGTAGATCTGTTTTGATTTTTGTAAAGAGCGTGACAAAATGAAAAAAGTTAGCTACTTTTCACGAGCGCACATCCAATTTGACGATGTTATAATACTTATTTTTTTGGAAATATTCAGCTCCATTTCGAGGCATTTTTGTTGAACTCGTAATTTAATATCCAATTTTAATACAACAAAATAACAGTATAACAGTTCAACATTATTTAATTCGAATAAGGTGAACTATCGATAGATTTGTTCGTTTGACAGAATAACTTGTCATGATTTTAGAAATTTTTGGGGACTCATGTTATTCTTAATTTTTCATGAGCTGCGTGAAAACGAGATGTGAGAAAATCTTATATTCTGACATTTTATATTCTCCAGTGTGATATTATCGCTGACGTTAAGATAATTGTTGGTTCTTATATTGTGTTGTTACATTTGTTACAAGTGTTCATAATTATGCCTTAGCACAATAACCTTAACGTTACAAATAATATCAAACTAGTGATTATGAATTGCCAGAATTTAAAATTTTTTGCAAAGTTTACTTTACCGCTGCTTAAAAATAAATAGTGGAGAATAAAATGAGTCTTCGAAAGTTATTTTGTCAAACGAACAGATCTATCAATAGTCAACCATTGTCAATCTAAATGGAAACCTAGTAGCCGACCTAGTACGCGAGGAGGTACAATATTGTCTGTTCAGTCAATCAAAATTTGTCTGCCTGTCAATTGGCGCTGGTGAACTGATAATGGAAACAACTTATTTGTTTCTGTCAAAAAATACATCATTATGTTGACATTCTCTTCTATTTTCATTCAATCTGTACTCAGAGATGTGATATTCGATAAAAAAGATTTTTTCATGAGATGTAGTAATCGTGTAATAATTTTCTGACAGTTGTCATTAATTTCATCTCTGCTGCCGATGTGTTGAATTTTTAATTGTGTTCCTATCGGAATTCTTGAAAATTACAATTATGCTTAATTATTCCTTTTGGTAATGGTTCTATTATAGTTTGTTGATTGGTTTATGAGTGCGATATGGTGCGATTGTGTTATTTTGCAATGTCATTCCGCACTCCAAGAGGTGGAGGTGTGAAATTATCAAGACACAGTTTCTCCAATCCCCAGTGATGTGAATTTGAGGCAACAATGGGTTCATGCCATATTCAAAACATACCAAGGTGAAATATTCTTCTTGAATCACTCATTTGAAACTAAAAATCTATTGATATTTCAGGAATGGGGACTTTTTAAGTGAGCGGCGAGTGTGTCTTCCTATCAACATTTCTGGTTTTTTAAGAAGGGTTCTGTTCCAACTTTGTTTAAGGTTAGTATATAAATGAAATTACATTTATCAACTACACTTTTTGTGTAGAAACTTTTTCAGCTACCTTCTTCATCCTTCGAAGTTTTGAAATTAAGTGAGCATTCATAATTTAGTGATAGAATATTCCAGAGTATTATACTTTTAAAGTACATGAGAGAAACGAGAACTGGAATCGTTTCCAAAATGAAATTCAAATGCTGGTTGATTGAGAATTCAGAAAATTTGGAATAATATGCACTACATCATGTTTTTATATTGATATATATGTATTATGCATATTTATTATGAATATTGTTCTTAATGAGAAATTGATTATTTTAGTACATATGATCATGTTTTCATTGAAGGATGTTTATTACTATACTTAGAAGTACATTTTATCTTACAGGGTGGTGAAGATACAAATAAGAATCAACAAGTACACTTCAAGGAAGTATTTTGAAAAATCCATGTTCGCACTGCTAATTCGCTAGCCGAATTAGACCCAAGAAGATAACAGCAAAAATATTTTATTCAAAATAATTTAAATATTCTGGTGCTGCATCGAACATTAAAAACCGAATAATCTCGAAATCTGATTACTTTAGCGGATTATTACTAGAATATCTTTTTTGCGTACAAATGTTCAGACAATCATTTCCTCCATGAATAAAAGAAACTACATTGAGAAAAAAGTTATGGCCATTCTAAACCAAGAACAGATAACCATTCTAAACCATAAGAACAGATAACGGACAGAGACGCATGCTGTCTATACGGACTGCTCCAAAACCGAGGAAGGGCCAGGAGCTGGTATTTATGGGGCCAAGCCAAAGACAAGAATCTCAGTGAGCTGAGGCAAATACGCGACGGTGTTTCAGGCAGAAATTATTGCAATATATCATTGCCTAAAAGAATTGATAAGGCAAGAGTTTGAAGGGAAAACCAATGCAATCTATTCGGATAGCCAGGCGGCAATTAAAGCAGTTAATTCAATGCAAGTTAACTCAAAGCTAGTATGAGACTGCTCAGAAACCCTGAATGAACTGGGCAGTCAGAACAGACAGACTCTAGCATGAGTACCAGCACATACAGGGTACGAGGGCAATGGAGAAGCAGACTCACTTGCCCGGGCAGGAGCAAACAAAGCTCCGAATGGCCCAGAATCCTTTTGTGGTATTGCGAAAGCAATACAAAAAACAAGTATTGAATCATGGATGCAAACCAAATCTCTAGAATGGTGGAACAACTCGCCAAGAATCAGACAGGCAAAAGAGTTTATCAAAAAAACCATCGCCAACATTCACAGAATATCTACTGAACCAGAAACGAAGTACAACTAGAATACTAGTGGGACTCCTCAAAGGGCATTGTAGGCTCAACAAACACATGAGTACGATAGGTCTGACTGAAGAACTGCTGTGTAGGTTCTGTCAGGAAGAGGAGGAAACAGCAGTACACATACTTTGCCACTGTGAGGGCTTGTCAAGACTAAGGTTCCTTACGCTGGGTGAGGAAAAACCAAGAGCCCAAAGTTACACAGGGGATCTGAAAGCTAACCTATGGGGTCTCATAGCGAAGGCGGGGATAGCCAAAGAACTCTAAACGATTTTGAGGGCAGACACAATAGATCTGAAAAGGTCGCTGTGTGGAGGCAGATAGCCCGAAGGCACCACTCTAAATCTAAATCAAAAGAAGTGCATTGGTAAGCTCCCTCTAATGGTCACAGTGAAAAGGTGTCCGTATTCGTGTTTTGCATCCCAAAAAAAACCCGAAATATCAAATTTTTTCGATTTTCATTCTTCAACTTGACCACCATGTTTCTCGTAAACGGATCAATTTGACTGAGGGAAGTTGCTGTAAATCGGTTTATTTTGACCTCAGGAATATGTGCCGAGAATTACAGAACTTTTAGGGACACCCTGTATATCATCATATCATGTTCAACTCTCAATATTTTTAAATTAATATGAAATCGTTCTTATTGAATTTCAAATTCCTGAATAACTGCTCCTTTTGTACTTCCTCCTGAACAAACCATCCCGTCACTACTGTCTTCCTGACAGTTACCGATCTCAATCTGAATATTTCCAGTTGCATTCCTTGAAAATTACTAACAAAAGGCTGCCATTCACTGAAATAGGAATGCTTTAGACAATTTGTTTTTCTACTGGAGATCTACTTGCCTACGTCACCCATTTATGGCAAGCTTCATTAGAAAAACACGGGGAATCTCTAGCTGTCGCGTTGGACATATCGAAAGCATTTGACCGCACGAAGGACTCCTCCACAAACTACCTTCATACGGCTTACCACCTCAGCT